CCGTGGAAACCCTATACAGGGTCGCTATGAGTCAGAACCAAGTCAATGGTTCTTAACAACAGCAACATACAAGGGGCTTCATAAAATTCATGGAAAAATTCCATTCTCTTTTCATTCCATTTTTCTATGAAATTTTGAATCCCCTTCATACAGCTCTTACTGTGTGCCAAGTACTGTTCTAAGAGGTGGACATATATATTAATTCATTTAATCCTCATGACATCTTGCAAAGGAGGTCCTGCTATTATCCCCATTTTACAGATAGGAAAAATGAGACACAAAGAAAAACTACTCAAAGATACATACCTCATATGGGTATGGGATGGTGGTATTGTTGGTAAGTGCCATCAAGTTGGTTCCAACTCATAACAACCCTATATGGGGTTTCCAAGGAGCAGCTGGTGGGTTTGAACTGTTGACCTTGTGGTTTGTAGTCCAATGCTAATCTTACAGTGCCGCACCAGTAGTCCCATGTGGCATAGAGCTGGGATTTTAAACCAGGTGTACCGCTGTAGGCTCAGCACTGGACTGAACCACATGATCATCAGATCAAACCCACCAACTGCTCCTTGTAAACCCTATACAGGGTCACTATGAGTCGGAACCAACAAGACAGCACTTAACAATAACAGTCTTATTCAAGCCCATATTCTTAATATTTGTGCTTTACTATGCCTCATAAATTTTGTAATTAAGTGCCATCAAGTCAGTTCCAACTCATAGCGACCCTGTATAGGGTTTCTCAGGAGCAGCTGGTAGGTTTGAACTGCTGACTGTAGGTTAGCAGTCCAGTGCCGATCCTACAGCACCACACCAGAATGCCATGTTTCGTAAATATAATAATAAAAGCAGGTTTAGTGGAATGATAAAATAGAGCCCAGATTGCAGTAGGGAACAGTGGAGAAAATACAGAAGCATAGTACCTTTAGAAAATAAATTTGTGGAATATAGTCAAGAATTAAAAATGGATGTTGGATTTTCTCACATGCTGTTTTTGCATCTGTTAAGATGACTATTTGGTTTTTCTGTTTAGTTTGGTACATTACGTGTTAAATGTTGAACCAGTCTTGCATCTCTGGGATAAACTACTTGGCTCTGATACATTATGCATTGTTAGATTCATTTTGCTGAAATTTTTACATCTGTGTTCATGAGGGATATTGGTCTATAATTTTTACTTCTAATAATGTCTTTGTCTAGATTTGTTATCAGAATAATATTGGACTCAGAGAATGAATTGGAAAGTATATCTTCTCCAGATTTTTTAGAAATTTGTATATAAAGTCATAGTCATGTCTTCCTTAAATGCTGTAGAATTCACCAGTGAAGCTGTCTGGTCTTGGGGGTTTTTTTCTGTGTGGTAAGGTTTTTGACAATTTTGATTTCTTTAATAGATACAGGAGAATTTTTATTTCTGTTTCTTCTTGGGTGAGCTTTGGTAGTTTGTCTTTCAAGAAATTTGTCCATTTCATCTAAGTTGTTGAATTTGTTGGCACAAAGTTGATCATAATACTTTTTTACCCTTTTAATATCTATCTATAGAATCTGTAATAATTTAACCCTCTCATTCCAGATATTGGTCATTTGTTCCTCCCTCCTCCCGCTCCCAAATCAGTCTGCCTGTGGCACTGTAGGTTAATGCACTGGACTACAAAGTCAGTTTGAACCGCAAGGTCAACAGTTCAAGTTCACCAGCTGCTCCTCAGAAACCCTATACATGGTCACTATGGGTCAGAACAGACTCAGTAGCACTTAACAACAACAACAACAACAGTCATTCTGGCTAGAGGTTTATCCACGTTATTATTAATCTTTTCAATCAATACTGAGTTTTTGGTTTCGTTGATTTTTCTCTTATTTGTCTTGTATCTACGTGTGTACTTAGAGTCTAGCTTGCTTGTCTTTTCTCTCTTCTTTAGGAGCTGAGGTCATTGGTTGGAGACGTCCCTTGTTTTCTGGTAGAAGTTTTTAGTGCTGTAAATTTCCCCTTAGCTTGGGATACTGTAGCTTCATCCCACAGATTATGATAAATTGTGTTTTTATTTTAATTCAATTAAAAATATTTTCTGATTGTCCTTTTGATTTCTTCTTTGGTCTATGAACTATTCATATACCCACTGCTGTTGAGTAGATTCTGACTCATAATAACGCTGTGTTGGGTTTTCAAGGCTCCATAAATCTCTGCGGGAACCACATAACCTGCGCTTAGCAGTGCAGTGCTTGTCCTACAGCAGTACCCTGGTGCCTTACGGACTGCTTAGGAGAATGGTATTCTGTTTCTAAATGTTGTGGGACTTTGCAGATACATTCTTATTGGTGATTTCTATATTAATTCCACTGTGGTCAGAGAAAATACTTTGTATGGCTTTTCTATTAAATTTACTTAAGGTATGTTTTATAGCCCAGAATATGACCTATCTTAATGAAGTTCCATATGCACTTGAAAAGAATGTGTATTCTGCTGTTGTTGGATGGGAGTGGTCTATAAACATCAGTTAAGTCAAGTCAATAGATGTTGTTGTTGTTAATGTGCTGTAGAGTTGGTTCCGACCCATAGTGACCCTGTATAGGGTTTCCAAGGAACGTCTAGTGAGCTTGAACCACCGACCTTATGGTTCAAACTGATTTTGCAGTCTAGCATGTTAACCCGCAGTGCCCCACCAGGACTCCAGTCAATAGATGTTGTTGTTAAGTGCCGTGGAGTCGGTTCCAACTCATAGCGACCCTGCACAGGGTTTCCGAGGCTGTAAATCTTTACGGGAGCAGAACACCTCATCTTTCTCCCGTGGAACCGCTGGTCGTTTCGAACTGCTGACCTTGCAGTTCATAGCCCGATTCGTAACCACTACGCTACCAGAGCTCCTTCAGTCAATAGATAAGCCCTCCCAAAAAACAAAGCAAATTCACTGCCATCAAGTGGATTGCAACTGATAGAGACCCTACATGGGGTTTCCGAGGCTGTAAATCTGTATGGTAGCAGACCGTGTCATCTTCCCCCAGAAGCTGAATCACCAACCATGTGGTTAACAGTTCAGGGCTCCTTAGTCAGTAGATAATATTCTTACCTATTTTCCCTCTGCTTGTTCTATCACGTAAGAGAAAGGGTATTGACATCTCCAACCATAAATGTGGACTGTTTTATTTCCCTTATTCTTCTATAGTTTTGTGCTTCGTGTATTTTGAAGCTCTGTTATTTGATGCATAAATGTTTAAAATTGTTATATTTCCTTCATGAATGGACCTCTTTATTGTTGCCAGAAAATCATGTCAGTACTGTTTGCTTTGAAATCTGTTTTAATTAACATGGCCATTTCCGGCTGCCCTTTAATTAGAATTAGTGTTACAATGGTATGTCTTGTCTGTCCTTTTGGTTAATTTGTGTCTTTATGCTTCAAGTGTATTTTTAGAGTAGTATAGTTTTTTATGCCATCTGATAATGTCAGCCTTTTGATTGGGCTGTTTTGAGCACTTGCATTTAATGTGATTATTGATATAATTAGGCTTTAATATGGCATCTTGCTATTTGTGGTCTATTTGCCCTACTTTTTCCTTCTCTTTTTCTGCTATCTTTTGGGCTGAGGAGTTTTTATAATTGTATTTTGTCTTTTCTGACTTCTTAGCTGTAATTATTTGTTTTGTGATAGTGGTAGTTGCTTTACGGTGTATATTGTACATTTTTAACGTATCAGAGCCTGCTCTGAGGTGATATTTAGTATCAGTACCACACATAAGAATTGTTGTTGTTGTCAGGTGCTATCGAGTCGGTACAGCCAGAGTGCTTCTTGGAGGCCAGGATGGCCAAACTTCGTCTCTCATACTTCAGACACATAAGAATAGTGTACCTCCATTTCTCCCTTCTGATTTGTATGCTGTTGTTTTCCTTTTTCACATATTATAAGTTTTGTGCTCCATTGTTAATATTTTCTGCTAAATCATTAACTGTCTTTTAAAGAGACTCAAATGTAAAAAACAACAACAAAGCCCTGTGTGCATATCCAGAATGACCACTCCTGGTGCTCTCCATCCCTTTGTGTAAAACCAGCAGGTACCCCTTTCCTTCTGCAAGAAGCACTTCCTTTGTCATTTCTTGTAGTACATACAGCTCTGATGATGATGAATTCTTTTGGCTTTTATATATCTGAAAACTCTTTTAAGGTACTATACTGAGGCATTTTCAAGGCTTACTTGGGATTTTTTCTGTTTCTTAGGAATCACTGTCCTTCATTGTCCAGTGCCTGAGTGGTTTGAAAACTATTGTTTCATCTATTTTGCTTCTTGTGGTGGTTGTTTCAGGTGAGAGAGTAAATTTGGGTTCCATCTTGTAAGCTGAAGTTCTACCCAAGAATTGAGAAAGGAAATAAGATAGTAAGGCCAGACTTTGAGAGTTGGTACCTAATGGGTATTTGTCAAGGCAAAGGGAGACTAGGTCAAACAGAAAGGCATCTATTTTTGCCCAGAAGCTGGGATTTCTTAGTAAGGTACACAGATATGCCTTGGTACAAAGCAGTGTACAAACAAGCAATTAATTAGCAAGTCAAGATGCGTTTTGAAGCTCTCGTGGGCAATTCAGTCTGAAACATTCCTTTCAGTCTGGTCCAAGCCCTCTTTTTTGAGTGTGTCCTTGGCCTTGAGGGTGTCCCAGAACTGGCATGGCAGATGCAATGGCTCATTGGACCTGAGGCCACAGAACATGAAATGTTTTCTAGAAGGAACTTCCACAGGGTGACCCTGAGATACAAGACCGGAACAGTATGGAATACAGCTGCTACATAGTGTCTGTCTAGCATACGTGGCTCTGTGTCAGTTTCTTAGCCTCTCCTTTCTGGGTACATTGTGGCCATAGTCTCCAGAGGTCTGCCCCTGGTAATCACCCCTCAGGACTACATACCTCCAAACCAAGAGCTTCCAGCATTCGGTTTGGTTCCCAACATTCTGTTGAAATGAACAGAACTGACTTGTTACTGGTTTCCTCATATAGACTTCATGTTGCTTGTCTCCAGGTTCTTCTCTGTGGTCCAGTTGGTCCAAAGCTGCATGAACTTCTTGATGATAATGTATTTGTTCCGCCAGAATCATTGCAGGAAGTGGATGAGTTCCACCTCATTTTGGAGTACCAAGCAGGTAAGGGAAATGAGTAAGTCAGAGGATTGCTGGCAGAGATCAGTAAGTGACTGCAGAAATTATCTTTGTATATGTGCAGGATCCTGCTGTATACCAAAGGTTTCCTGATTCACTGGTTCTACTGAGCTAATTCTGGCCATTGTCTCAGAAGCATGAGAGTGTATGCTCACAGGAAAGACAATCCCTAGCTCTGCGAACAAAATTGATCTGAATCCAAGATAAACCAGGCTGGAGGAATAAAATAGAAAATGTATTAAACACACATATCTAAAGTTTTTCTTGATTACTGAGAAAAGAGAAGGGTGAGTAACATCTGTTCAGCTCTGTGCTGAATTCTGCCCGGAGCCTTTCTGGCAAACTGTTCCAAGCCATTTAGAATTAATTCAAGGCCTGTGGCAAACTCCCTTTGAAGCATTTTGTTTTTTCTTAGGTGTGTGAGTGGAAGTGTTTTGTATTTAACATCACTTACATTATTTCCCATTCATTGTATTATGTTCCAATGTTTATAGCTCCAACTCCACACTGTCCCACCCTTACCCAGCGAAGTAGTTCATTTTATCTGTTACACAAACTACAGGTCTGATTTCTGAGTGAATCTGAAATACCTAGAAAGATTTCTTGATCCTGCATATTTCCTGCTGTATCTTTCTCTCTGCTCAGAACTCAGACTCTTGACTGATTTGACACATTATGAATTCAAGTGAAAGACTCATGTCCAAACAGACTAATTGGTCCCTCAAAAGTAGTACTTATTTTAATAAGTTTCATTGAGCTGCTTCCAAGTCAGGCAATTAAGAGACCCTCACCTACCAAAGTAATTCACTGTAATTAAGATATGAAATATTGTGTTCTTTAAAATTATATCTTCCTCCAAATACAGATAAAAATTGTTTTTATTTCTGGTTCTTGTTTGGGTTCTGACAAATCTGTCAGAAGTTTGGGAAGAGTCAGATCTGAAAGTTAGCGACAGAATAGGATGTTGGGATAGGCAGTCCACATTTGAGTTACACAGGTTTCTCTCAGTTTAGTCTCCCCAAATGGGAAAACAGAGTGCTATTTCTTACTGTCTGAAGATGTGGTAAAGATTAAGAGGCTAGTGTGCTTAAGCATTTTGAACTTTTGACTTGAAAAGTCCCAGCATGACTGGAGCAGCTAAGATGTGCTTTTGAGGGGCTGCTGCCACTTACAGGTTCCTCTCCCTCGGCTCGGTGCCCGTGGTAGGGCCTGGCAGCCTTTCAGGCTTTGCCTGGTTTCTGTCATGTATTCCAGACTTCGCAGATACCTTTGACAGCTGTGCCTTGAGTGTGATTAAAGAGCAAGCGCAACTTCTCTTGAAAGTAGAGTGTCTCCTTCCTGGAGCATAAGCTTCACACCTCAGATAGTGATTTCAGTGCTTTATTTTCTTAGTACAAAGCAGTAGCTCCCCCGGTAAGTTGCAAGTGAAGTTCTGTTTCCTCGTCCAGAGCCAACTTGGACTCAGCGGCAGCAACTCGAGGCTGCGCTCTCCACAGAGATCCATGCCTAACTTACAGGGTCAGCTCCCTCACAGGATTTGTCAATTTTATTGTTTTCCCTCTTACTTCCTACCAGACCTTCCCAGAGAAGGTAATTTTTCAGGCTTTGGACTGGGGAGCCAATGAGTCACTGCAAAGAAGTTTTGCTTACTGGCAGAAGGGCAGGATGATAAATTGAGAGAATGTATTGCTTGCTTAAATAAATAAAGAGCCTTTGAGAAAAGAAGGGCATTAACTACGAGTCAGAGGCTCGCCCTGTCTGGGCATTGGGCATTCTGCCTGTGGGCCCTGCCACCAGCTGGGAGACAGCCCTGAACACCTCTCTGCTTTCCCCATTGCCTTCACCTTGCCCCCATCATCTCTCCCCTGACGAAATCAATTTATTTTGAATCCTGAGTGACTCTTTTCTTCTTGGCTAAGCTAGCCTGTATTTCTTAAACAGCTTCATTATTTAAAGGTCCGTTCTAAGTCTGACTCTGTTGTTGTTAAGTGTAGTCTAGTCAGTTCTGACCCATAGCGACCCTGTATAGGGTTTCTGAGGAGCAGCTGGTAAGCTTGAACTGCCAACCTTGCAGTTCAAACGGCTTTGCAGTCTGGCACATTAACCCACAGCACCACACCAGGACTCTAAGTGTGACTTTGTGGAGAATACTAAATGCAATGAATTTTTCTTGCTAATTTGGGAAATGCTGGAATAACCATGTTATTCATTGGCCTAAGCACTTAGTCATGTCTGTTCTCTATTCACTTCTCCATTTGCTAATTCATCCACATGGCTATGTGCCAGGCACAGAGAGATGCAGCAGAGAGATGACAATGGAAGGAGACCTGAGCCCTACTCTCAGCCCAGAGTTTCATGTGCGAGATGGACACTGGAACAAAGTACTGAAAAGTCATGTGCCCAGTCGTCTCGGAGGGCAGAGTGGTGGCCCGTGAGGGAAGTTACCCAGTGGGCATGGGGGTGGGAGGGCTTCACAGAGGAAGCCCAGACATGTGTTGGGTGTTTGCAGATGAAACAAAAGTGGACTATTTCAGTCAACTCCAAGCAATACGTGATCCAAGAGTTAGAAAGGGATGTGATGTTTAAGAAAAAAAAATACAAGTATCCTGTCAGGGTAGCATCTTTTTTGGGGGTGGGAGCAGGGGGAGAGCATAGATTTGTATACAAGTGACCCACATACAAGCTGCTTTTCAGAGGGACAGATTCTGTAACACCTGACTCACTCCCAAGGAAGATGGTTGTCCCAGGTCCTCCCTCTGCTCTGGAGAGTAAGCCCTGAATACACACACTCACTCCCCAACACTCAATCCCCAAGGAAAGGACCATTCCAAAATAGAGGAATTCGTTTGCCTACTGCAGTTGGCAGATGAGTCAGTCTGCCTTGAGAAGAAATGTTCAGAAGGAATACCCAGTGTGCATGATAGAAACCATTGAAAATGTAGCCTTCTGTCTGTGGCATGTAGGGTGTAAATGGGAATGCTCATTAATGAGGAAGAGAGGCTGTATGAGCCTGCGTCACAAATCCTTGCCCTGTCTCCCTTGCCTCGCCCTTCTGGGTGCACCTCCATGCTGATAGGACTGGCCTCCTTCATCAGTTACCCCACGTTAGCAGAGGTGGGCAGCCCTTATGTGGAGCAAGTTTCAAGATTTCCTGTCACATCTTTATGGCAGAGCCGAGCCTGTGAGCACTGAGGCCCCAGTGAGTAGGTCAGAAAGGACCCTGCCTGCCACACTGCCATTCCTGGGTTCTTTTCATACTTGGCAGCCGTGGTTCTCACCTCAGGATCTCAAAGGGTGAAGCCACCTGCCCATAAAATTAAGTTCCTCAGGTGGTTGTGGTGCATGGCCAGTGTTGAGAGCCACTGGGACAAATGTGCACCCCTCCTGGTGATGACCTGGCTCCCCCTGCTTGGATCAGAGGAGCAGACCCTGAGTGGACCCTCCGTAACAGGCAGTGTGGGATTCATAGATAGGCATCGTCCCCTTAAAGAACCAGCCGTCTATTTGGGGACATGGGGCACAAATATGTGAAGAGTTACACAATGGAAGGTTTGAATAGTAGCCGAGGTGGTAGAAGAGCTCAAAGCAAAATGACGCATCACCAAACCAGGCCCAGAAAAAGCTTTGGGGATGCCCTCAGAGGTGAAATCGTACCTCGCTAAAGCAGTCAACTGGCAATTCAGGCAGGAGGTAGGACTGGAACACGGCCATTCCTCCAGAGCACCTCATGCAGAGGAGGCCAGCAGCCAGCTGTGCATACCTACTGGGTCACATGCTCACACATCTCCAGTGGGCATCAGGGAGGAGGTGTAGTCAGCATGGCTCTGGGAATTGGTGCCTGCTTCGATTCTAACTGGAGGAAAGGTGCTTGGGGCTCTGCTGTGGGCTTGGGTAGGGATGACAAAGGCCTCAGGTCCTCTGTGGTGGTCACTGGGCAGGCAACTTAGGGCATGTTGGTGCTCTGTGACTCAAGGGACCTGAGTATCCTGGGCTTGAGGGCTCAGGGGTCACTCTGGACAGTTGTTTTCCAGGAACTTGAGAGGAGCTGATTACCAGCCCCTTGGAAGCGCCTGTTTCTGTGTTGATTTGGTGTGGTTTTTTTCTTTACTGACCCCAACCTCCCAGATGCAGCCCCATGGTTATTGTAGACAGTGTGGCCAGGCTCGGCTCCTGCCACACACGTCTCCAGTGAGGTACCTGCCAGTCTCTGCACAGCACGATAAAGCCTCTCCCATTTCTTCCCATTGTGTTAACTGGGCTTTTCTAGGGGAGGAGTGGGGCCAGTTAAAAGCTCCAAATGCCAACCGATTCATCTTCTCTCACGACCTCTCCAACGGGGCCATGAAAATGCTGGAGGTGTTTGTGTCTAGCCTGGAGGAGTTTCAGCCCGACCTGGTGGTCCTCTCTGGATTGCACATGATGGAGGGACAGAGCAAGGAGCTTCAGAGGAGGAGACTCTTGGAGGTAATAGCACCGACCTAGCTCTAGAATTCCCCACATCTCAGCTGGGGGTTTCTCCGGGGTCCCTCCTCTCTTGGCCACTGTAGCTTGTGCTGCCTTGCCTTAGGTCCTGGCTTCCCAAGGATGTACCTCGGCAACTGGCTGGGAAGTCAGCCCCCTTCTCCAGGGAGACACCTCATGGTGTTCGTTCAGGAGTGGACAGCAGCTTGAGCAGGACAGGTCAGAACCTCTTGCCTGAGCCTCTCTGCATCCTGTGCTATACTGAACGTGACTGCGAACTACAGTATTCTGTAGTTTGTCTCCTGCGTGTGACTTGCATCATCTCACTTCATGTCAACAAAACTGAGGGCCCTGCAAGTCCAGAGCACACTGAGGCCCGACTGCTCCGTCCATGTCCCGAGGCATAGGCTGGCACCAGGGACTTACAGGGAAAGTTTGCTGTCCTCTGAGTTTCTACCCCCCATGCCTAGTCACCCCTTCTGTGTAAAGTCTCCCTTGTCCACAGAGGCCAGAGGTGACCCGTGTTGCTCGGCACTCTTGGGAGGCTACAAAGAAGGCAGTACCGTCAAGGAGGGCTTTTCTTTCACGACTTGACCCTTCCTCCCCTTTTCTGACTTCTAAGCAGTGCTGCGCTCCTCTCTGCAGGTTGTCACCTCCATTTCTGATATCCCCACGGGTGTTCCCGTGCACCTTGAGCTTGCCAGTATGACCAACAGGGAGCTCATGAACAACATTGTGCACCAGGTAACCACATGGGCAGGGTGTGGGTCCTCCTGTAGAGAGCTTGCAGAGAAACCCCTTTGTGCATGGGGGCCATGTGACATCATGCCCACAGGGATCCCGGGGAGAGGCCAGGACTCAGGCTAGATTAGACATACGACAGCTTCATGGTTTTATGGGTTTCTTTTGAAATAGGGATGTTAGTAGTAGTTTTTGCAGAACTCAAAGGAGAAAAAACCACAGCTCAGCTGCTTTCAGTTTAACTTCAGGAAGCTAGAAGAAAGGAACTTTGAACTCCCGCATCCCAAGCAACTAGGTGTTCAAATCCTGTCTTTGAACAGCAACAGGGACCTAGGGTACATAGGAGCGCATGAGCTGAAGAAAACTGGCTTTGAAGCCCTCAGCTGCCATGCCAGCTCCAGCATGTGCTAGCTTTATGAACACAGGCAAGTTACATAGCTCTTCAGAGTGTTACTCAACTTTTAAAATAATGTATTTATTATATGATTCAAAACCCAAAACAAATGTAAAAAAGATAAGTGAATGGAACGTCAAAAAGTTAATGAATAACCTTAACTTTTCATTCCATTATTCCACAAACGTTTTGAAGCCGCTTCATACAATGAAATCTCTCCAGCCTGTAACCAGTGTTTGTTATTTATCAATTTCATCTATATCCCTCAAAGAGAGTATGGTGGTTCTATCGATAAGCACTGGGCTGCAAACCACGAGGTCCTGGGATTGAGCCCACCAGCCACTCTGCAGGAGAAAGATGAGGCTTTCTGTTCCAGCCAAGATTTAAAAGTCTCAGACACCCTGTACAGGGTCACTATGAGCCAGAACCGACTCACTGGCACTGAGCGGCAGCAGTGTCCTCTGAAGTTACTCGATGTCTCCATGTAAAGATGAGACTATGACCTTAGTTTATAATCTCTTTACCCATAAAGATAGCATAGCATACTGAATGCACTGTCTGCACTTTGGTTTTGCCCCCGCTTGTATTTTGAAATCTTGTCTCTGTCAGTACATGAGGCATGTCAGTGGTCTTTTTGCAGCTTCATGGTTAAAACAGGTGCGTGCATGTTCTACTTGTTTAACCTGGACATTCCTGGTGGAGGTCTTGGTTGGTTGTTGTCTCTTGCTATTCCATGCAATGCCACGAATAACTTAGAAAGTGCATGTAAATTCTCAGAAGTAGAATGGCTGTATTGGAACATTTGTAAGTGTGATGTTGTCAAATTGCCCTCTATGAGAATTGTGTTGGTTTACTTCCCATAAACAACATTGACAAATTATTTCTTCACAGCCTTACCACTAGAATGTAAATGCTTACATTTTACCTGTCTGAATATATACCAACTATATTTCAGTATACTTTTTATTTACACTTCCTTTATGTGAAGCTGAGAGCCATTTTCATTTTCTTTTCTGTATAATGTCAACTTTATGTTTCTTTCTGATCATCAGTTCCCTTTTCTGTAAAATGGGGTCAGTTCCTTAGTCCCTCAGCCCTCACATTCACCCCTAACTTGCATTAGTTAGAGCCATAAGTGCAGTACCTGAAACAGAACATGCTGTGAATCGAAGCTGCTATTACATAGGCCACTGGGGCAGCATTCGGCCAACCAAAAGGTTGGCAGTTCAAACCCACCATCTGCTCAGTATATAGAGCAGTTCTACTCAGACTTATAGGGTTGCTGTGAGTCCAAATGGAGACAGTAGGGGCTTGGTGTGGTGATGTAGGATAAGCACTGAAAGCTAACCACAAAGCCAGCAGTTCAAACCCACCTGTACAGGTGATATAACAGAATACACACACACACACAGAGATGAAGGGGCTTCAGAAAGTTAATGAAAAAATGGAACTTTTCCATGAACATTTTGAAGTCCCCTTGTGTGTGTGTATATATATATATATATATAATATATATATACACATGTTTACAAGGGCTCATCTGTCTTCAGATACATTTATGGAATTAACTGTGTGTGGTTGTAAAGAGGGACATGCTAAGAGCGAGCAGCTCCAGACGCCATACCTTCTAGGTCACATGCTCTTCTTACTCAGTTCAAACCCACTTCTCACTCAGTCTTCTGACCACACCTGTGCAAACTGCTCAGGGTGTAACCTGAACCTACATTCTCCTGGTTTCTTGGTTTTGTGTACGTGGAACCATTGTGACTTGGCATACGTTCGTGGACCTTCTGTTTTACTGGTTTAAAGCCTGCTGACATTCAGGAACTGAAAGTCTTATCCCATCGAAGTTAAGAGCATCTGTAAAGACTAAAGAAGCAAGGTACAAACTGCATACAGCCCTGCTTTCTAAACATTGACTGTATGTACCTCTCATCTTATACTGGCACGTGATGACGGTCTCTAGGTTGTCTGAGGCGGTAGTGAGAGAGATTAGCTTGACACTTCCTCACCAGAGAATTCAGGGCAGAGAATTCTGCCCATTCCCTCTGTCCTTTAGTCACATGCTGTGTCTAAGCAATGTCCATCAGAAAGACTGCTGTTTCCTCTGTTAGCAGGTCTTTCCTGTGGTGACCTCCCTGGGGCTGAATGAACAGGAGCTGTTGTTTCTCAGCCAGTCGGCATCTGGACCTCACTCATCTCTCTCGTCCTGGAATGGGGTTCCTGATGTGGGCATGGTCAGTGACATCCTCTTTTGGATCTTGAAAGAGCATGGAAGAAGCGAGAACAGAGCCTCAGACCTCACCAGGATCCACTTCCACACGCTGGTCTACCATATCCTGGTAACCGTGGACGGACACTGGGCCAACCAGCTGGCAGCTGTGGCTGCTGGGGCCCGCGTGGCTGGGACACAGGCCTGCGCCACAGAAACCATAGATGCCGGCCGAGTGTCTCTGCAGGCACCCCATGAGTTCACCACGTCCCACTCAGAGGCGGGCTCCAGGATCGTATTAAACCCGAACAAGCCAGTAGTAGAGTGGCACAGAGAGGGGGTATCCTTCCACTTCACACCAGTCTTGGTTTGCCAAGACCCTGTTAGAACTGTGGGCCTTGGAGATGCCATTTCAGCTGAAGGACTCTTCTACTCTGAAGTTCACCCTCACTAATAGGGAGGAGAGATCATGGATAACTTGCCCAAGGAAGGAAAACTAGCCAAGTGTAGAATTATAGAAGAAAGTGGTTTGGAAACTAGGATTGAGGGGGTCAGAAGAGTTTCTAGATCAAACTCTGTCAGACACATTCCAGCCTGTTGGCAAGGACACAGACATTTCAGGTTTGAATCAAAGTATTACCAGTGAGACTGGACTTGTGTGTTTTCTATGTTGTGTTACAGTGGTGAAACTTGATTCCCAAATCCCAAGCTTAAGCAGAATCATCAAGGATTTTAACCAAATGTCAAGTCAGAGCACGTCCCCTGGAGAAAGGCTCCCTCCCACCCCCGTGCACCTTGAGAAGTGGATGCTGGCTCCCCAGTGTCCCACTGTTGTCTGAAGCCTTGTGTGGGGCTCAGTGCTTGCGGCCGGGATCATGATTTCTCTTCAGGATTACCGCAGAAATGGGTACAGCTTCTCATAGGGCAGAGCCACAAATAAGGACTGAGCTTTCTCGTGCAGCAGAGGCTGGGGGGAGGGCAGAGGACCCTGGAGGAGTCGTTTTGCTGTGGTCTGGGAACCTGGCACACTGCAAGGGTAGCAGTGGGCACTGCTCCAGGTTGGTGGTCACAGGTGCTGTGGCCTGGGCTCTCCTCACTACCCGCCTCTCAGCCAGCTTTGGGCAGGACAAGACTGACCTCTGTTCATTCTCACCCATGAAGGGCACACTTGTACAACTGGAATCTGCTTCTGTGCATCTCCCAGATCATGTGATGGTTTTGTTTTCATTAACACACCACATCCATTTAAGAGTTTGACCTCACAAGACCCTCAGGATCATGAATAAATTTGCCATGTTAGATATGTTGTTTTTTTTTTTTTTTTCTAAAACAAGACATCTGTATGCTTTTAAATATATTAAAAACAATTTACTTTTCAGGAATCCCATGTCTGTTTGTAATTGATTTTGTTCCCATCACCACTCCAAAGTAGATAAAACAGAAATCATTCTAATCTTGACCTGTGACTTATTACTGTTCTCTGGACATGTCTTTTTATCCTGCTTAAACCATCTTTGGCTTAGGCAGCCCCTCAACTGCACCTAAGCCATAGGTCTGCCCTTTTCTGGTAACAGGAGGTACCAACAGAAGTAGCCAAGTTGAAGTTTAACACACCACCTTTTCCGTTTGTTCTAAAGGGCAGTGTAGACAGTGTAGCTCTGTGGTGACCATTTCCCATTGGGCCCACTGCTGCTGCTTCTGGGATCCCAAAGCTACCCCAAGTTCTTCATTTGTAACCTCCCTTCCTTTGAAGCTTAGTTGCCCATTTTTCAAAGAAAATAGTAGCCTAGAGAATTATACAATTTGAAATTCAAAGCAAATAAAATATCTAGCTGCTACCTCATCTTTCTCTGCCTCCAAGTGCAGTTAAGAATAACTAAATACCAACCGTGTAGCCTTGTTTTCATTCTAAAAGCTTAAGTGGTAAGAGATTTCCTTTTTTCCCAAGCAAGAAGAATTAGAATAACTCATCATTTATGCTCCAAGCCAGGGGTGGAGAACATCTGGCTTGCAAGCCATATGTTAAGTGCCGTCTAGTCTGTTCCAGCCCATAGTGACCCTGTATAGGGTTTCCTAGGCGTAGCTGGAGAACTTGAACTGCCAACCTTGCAATTCAAACCAACTTTGCAGTCCAGCACATTAACCCATAGCGCCACACCAGGACTCTCACAGGCCATGTAATCATTGGGTCTGGCCCTGCCAAGGCAACCACAGGTCCAGCCATTACACTGTTGTTGTTAGGTGCCATAGAGTCAGTAGTGACTCAGAGAGACCCTATGCACAACAGAATATAACACTGCCCAGTCCTGGGCCCACCTCATAATTGTTGCCATGCTTGACCCTATTGATGCTGCCACTGCCAATCCATCTCGCTGGGGGTCTTTCTCTTTTTCTCTGACCCTCCACCTTACCAAACATTATACCCTTCTCCAGCAACTGGTCCCTCGTGACACTATGTCCAAAGTATGAGAGACAAAGTTTGGCCATCCTGGTCTCCAAGGAGCACTCTGGCTGCACTTCTTCCAACACAGATCTGTTGGTTCTATGAGTAGCCCATGTCACTTTCAATATTCTCCTCCAACACCATAACTCAAAAACATCAATTCTTCTACGGTCTTATTCACTGTCCAGCTTTCACATGCATATGAGGTGATTGAAAATACCATGGCTTGGGGTGAGTTAATTAACCGTTTGACCAAATATGTTGTCATCAAGTCCATTTTGACTCAGACACAACAGCCAACCCTACTGTTCAAACCAACCTTGCAGTCTTGCGCATTATCCTGCAGCAACACACTAGGACCCCTTAACCAATTTTAAAGTGATCATTTTGTATGGCCCATGAATGATGTTATAAATTTTGGCAGGAAAAAGGTTCCCTAAGCCTAAGAAGACTGTTAAAAGTACTGAAGTCTTCTCTATGTGACTTTATCTTAGAGTCTTTCTGTAAGTTGTGTTTACGCAGCCCCTGCCTTGAATGCACATTTTCAACAAGTTTTCATTACTCCCTGTTGATGAGTGCAGGGAGCGATATACCCTAGAGCAGAATTTTTCAAATGATGAGTCTTAAACCATTCCTGGCTGCCTTCAAATCTACAGGTCCAGCCTTAGATACAAGACTGAAACATTGCCAGAGGTCCTGCATCCTCTTTGCAATCACTAATCACTAGCATGTTCGAGTCCCACCATTGCAGCTATTGTGTCATCTCATCTCCCGGAGATGATCTCTACCCTTCTCCTCTAACGATTGGTCCCTCTTGCTAACAAGTCCCAAACAAGCAAGCTCCACAATGCTGTGATTCATAAAGGTTTGCATGGGCTGATTTTCAGAAGTTGATCTCAGGGCCTTCTACGTCTTAGTCTGGAAGCTCTGCTGGAACCTTTTTAGTATCAATAGCAACATGTAAGACTCTACTGACAGATGAATGGTAGCTGGCCAGGAATTGAACCCAGGTCTCAAATGCAGAAGGCAAGAAAACTATCCATTAATAGTTCTAAATCAATTTGGTGGTTATTAGAATGTATCATATATAATACTGTAAAGATAAGTATTACACATTATTTTATAAAATAATTAGTTTATATATCTATGAGTGTTGTTAGGTATTGTCGAAACAATTCTAATTCCTAGCATCCCAGTGTCCACCAGAACGAAGCTCTGTCCACTCCTGGACCGTACACACAACTGTTAGGACCTTTACGCCCATTGTTGCAGCCACTGTGTCATTCCATCTTTTCAAGGGTCTTTTTTGTTGACCCTCTACTCTACCAAACATGATGTCCCCCAGGAATTGGTCTCTCGTGACATGTCCAAAGTGTGTGAGAAAGTCTCAGCATCCGTGCTTCTAAGGCGCATTTTGGCTGTACTTCTTCTAAGACAGACCTCTTTGTTCTTCAGGAAGTCCGTGGTGTATTTAATGATCTTCACTAACACCAGAATTCTAATACATCAATTCTTCAAGTCTTCTTTGTTCACTGTCCAGCTTATGTGTACATAGGGTTACAGAAGGTTAGGGGATGAACAGACCATCAGTTGCTCATATGCTAGCTCAAGTTGGACTGGAAGAAAAGTAAAACAAGTTCACGAGAGACAAAACACCACCTTGAGTATATCCTGCCTCAATTTAGAGCCTCTCTCAAGGACGTCTTACATTAAGAAAGTGAAAATGTCATAAGAGACAGCAAAGAAGGAAAAGAATACAAGAAACTGAAACTTGCTCTTGAACATAAACAAGCTAAAGTGACTGAAAGAAAAAATGATGTAAAAGAGCCAAACAGAAAAATGTAAAAGCTTGAAATGTCAAAGTAAAATATACTGAAATGTGCAAAGACACATTTCCAAAAGACAAGCATGCTCAGCACTTCTCAAGCTGAAAAACTGATGAGAATATTCGAGTCTTGCGCAGCAACACAAGATATGGGCAAAACACTGATCAGCCCAGGAAGCATCAAAAGAAGGTGCAAGGAAATACATAGTCACTGTAGCAAAAAGAATTGATGGTTTAACCATCTCAGTACTGAAAGAAGAAACCCAAGCTACATTGAAGGCACTGACGTAAAACAAGACTCTAGGAACTGATGGGATACCAACTGAGATGTTTCAACAAATGGATGTAATGCCGGAAGCACTCATCTGCCAGGACATACGGAAGACAACAACTGTGTGGTGAACCAACTAGACGAGATGCATAATAATTATGCCCAATCCAAAGAAAGGTGATCCAACAGAATGTAGAAATTATCATAAATATCACAAGCAAGTAAAGAGACATAAAAAACCGTTGTACCAGTTCATTGACGGGGAACTGCCAGAAATTCAATCCAGACTTGTAAGAGGATATAGAACAAAGGATATCATTGCTGATATCAGATGGATCTTGGCTGAAAGCAGATAATACCAGAAAGATGTATGTTTTGTTTTATTGATACTGCAAAGGTATTCAGCCATGTAGATCATAGAAAATCATGGATCTCAATGTGGAGAATGGGAATTCTGGCATGTGCTCATGAGACCAAGAAGCCGCCATCAGAACAGAGTAAGGAGATACTAAATGTTTAAAAACAGGAAAAGTGTGGGTCAGGGTTGTATCTTTTAACCATACTTATCAATCTGTATATGCTGAGCCCATAATCCAAGGTGGACTGTCCAAAGAAGAATGCAGCCTCAGAATTGGAGGAAGCCTCATTAACAATCTGTTAATATGTAGATGAAACAACCCTGCTTGCTAAAAGAGGACTCAAAGCACTTACTGATGAAAATCAAGCACTAAGTTTCGTGTCTTTAGAATCTAAGTGTTGTTGTTTTTTTCAATGTTAAAATTGTTCCTTTGTTGGTATCTGAGAATACAGTTTTTGTACAAACCTTGCATCCTGCAGCCTCACTAAACAGTTTTCTTTCAGATTTCTTTAGATATTATCTGTCAAGAATCATGTCATCTGAAAATACAGGTTCACACGTTTCTAATCTTTATGCCTTTTTCTTTCTTTCTTTATGGTACTGGCTAGAACCTCCAGTGTAACAGTGAACACAAGTATTAAGATTTAATATCCCTGCCTTGTTGCTGATCTTAGAGGCAATGTGTTCAGTATTTTCTACCACTGTATGTGATAGCATAGTATTCTTTTTCAAAAAATGCCATTTTTGTGATAGAAAATCTTCCCTTCTACTGTCCTATTTTTTTACATTTTTTCTTGTTGAAAACAGCATAGCAAAATATACCAATTTCTGTATGCACAATGACACTGACAAACTGAGTTGTGCTACCATGTTCACCCTCTCCTTTCAATGTGTTCCTCTCCAGTTCCTGTGAATCTCTGCTCCAACGTCCTATGTAAGCTTTTAAGCTGCTGTCCACTTGATCCTATACAGGTCTTTCTTTAAAAGCACACAGTGCTTTCAGGCAGGTAGTAAGCTGGGTTTAGGGTTAAAGAAAACTTCAAGGAATGTTTTTGGCCCATATTTTAAAGATTATTTCAGAGCAATAGTTTTAGGGGTTTATCCAGCCTTAGTGGCTCCAGAAATTCTGGATTCTACTTCATGGTACACACTGCCTGGGGTCTTAAATCTTACAAGCAGTCATCCAGGGTACAACAGTTGGTCTCTTGTCTGGAACAACAGGGGAAGGAAAGTCAAAAACAACCTGAAATACCTGTAGCGGAGTCAATTCCTAACCCTTCAGGAAAGAGTGGAAGAGCCCCGTAAAGTTTCTGAGGCTATAATCTTTATGGATGCAGGTTGGTGGGTTCAAACTACAGACTTTCTGGTTAGCAGATGAATGCTTAACCACTGTGCCACCAGGATCCTGGAGTCAGAAACAAGAGGACATGGAATGTGTGGCTGTCTCGTTTGCCATGAGATCAAAGAAACTGGCTGGTGCCCAACTGCCATTACTGAACATCTTGATCAATTATAAGAATCCTGATCAAAAAGGAGGAAATGCAGAACAGAATTTCAAATTTTCATAAATCTAGACTTGAGAAATTTTATGATAAATGGCTTTTTATCACTGCTTTTTCTGCATCTACTGAAATCAGAATTTTTTAAATTAATACAAGTGAATATTTTAATCTTTAAATGTAAAATTTATGTTGGATTCTTAGGGTAAACCCAACTATGTTATAATATACATTGTTGTTAAGTGCTATCAAGTTGGTTCCAATTCACAGCAACCTTGTATAGGGTTTCCAAGGAAAGACTGGTTGAGTTTGAACCACTGATCTTGCAGTTAGCAGTCCAGTGCTTATCCTACATAGCAACTTCATCCATTGCCTGGATGAGGATTAAGGATTTTTGCATTTAAATTCATGTAGGATAATGAACTTTGTATATAGTGTCTGATCAGATTTGATACCAGGTTTATGCTGGCCCAATACAAACAAGTTGGGAAGTTCTCATACCTCTATCTTCTGAAAATTTGTGTAAGGTTGAATTTATTTTGCTTTCTTAAATATTAATTCACCAATGAAATCACCAGAAATTTGTTTTAAGGGTATCTTTTGATCTACAAATTCTTTAATATATAAGGTTTTATATTTCATCTTGCTTCAGTTTTGTTTTGCTGTATTTTTCAAATATTTTGTTCACTGCATTTAAGTTGTGAAAACTTTTAGGATACAACTGTTCATAATGTTCCTTTATCCTCTTGATGCCTACAGGAGCTGTAATGCTTTCCCTTTCCTTCCTGATGTGTTGTCTCTCTTTTCTTGGTCAGGTTAGCTAGGAACTGGTTTTTTCCATAGACTGGCCTTGTTAATTTATTATTTGTCTGTTTTCTGCTTCACTGATTTCTGTCTTTATTTCTTCTACTTACTTTGGGCTTATTTTGCTAACTTTTCTAGCTTATTAAATAGGTAGAAATTTATGTCATTGATTTTCTATTTGTGCTAACTTAAGCATTTACAGGTGTACATCTTCTTCTTAGCAATGCTTTTAGGTGAACCCAATTTTTGTTTTCATTATCATTCATTCAGTCAAAAACAATTTCTAGTTTCCCTTTTGATTTCTTCCACTGACTTGTGACTTATTACAAGTATGTCATTTCCAAGTATCTAAAGGTTACTGATTTAAACTTAATGTCACTGAGGTCAGAGAATTACAACATTCTGTAAAACTTACGTCTTTTGAATTTTGAGACATATCATATAGCTCAGACTAAGGTCAGTGGTTCAAATTCACCACCTGCTCCTTGGAAACCCTGCCCAGGGTCGCTATCAGACGGAACTGATTTGACAGCACTCAGCAACAAACATGGCCTGTCTTGCTGATCACATCATATGCATTTGCAAAGAATGTGTCTTCTGAAATTCTTGGTGGTAGGATTGTAAAAATGTCAAGTTAGATCAAGGTGATTGATGAAATTGTGCCAGATTATTCTTTGCCTTTTCTAACATGTCTAGTTCTATCAAATGCTGAAGGAATGCTAATGTATTGCACTATGATTGAATTTAATTCTGTCAACTTTTAACTGATGTATTTTGAAGCAGTGATGTGTTATATTTATAATTGTTTTCCTCATCAGTTGACCTGGGAATGTCCCTCTCTAACTCCTTGCTGTGAAGTTGACATTATTTTATATTAACACAGATCTCCCAGATTGCTTATGCTTATCGTTTGCTGGTGTATCTTTTTCCATTTTCTTAACAACAACACCTAGCCAGGTTTTTTTCTTATCTTTTTTCTGCTTCCTAATTGGAGCTCTGATAGCGTAGGGGTTACGAATCGGGCTGCGAACCTTAAAGCCAACAGTTCGAAACTACCAGCTGTTCCGCGCGAGAAAGATGAGTCATTATGCTCCCGTAAAGATTTACAGCCTCGGAAACCCTGTACAGGGTTGCTATGGATCGGAACCGACTCGACGGCACTTAACAACAACAAATTGGAATGTTTAGTCCATTTACAATTTAATATATTCTTGATATAATTAGATCTATAGTTACCATTCTGCTGTTTTCTCTTGTTCCATTTGCTTATATTCGTCCTTTCTTTCTTTAGGTTAATTGAATATTCCTTAAAATTGCATTTTAATCTCTCTACTGGTTTTTTAAAAGGAGTCCTGGTGGCACTGTAGGATAAGCATGAGACTAACTGCAAGGTTGGCAGTTCAAATCCACTAGCTTCTGTGTAGGAAAGTGATGAGACTTTCTGTTCCCATAAATATTTACAGCCTCAGAAGCCCGAATAGGGTCGCTATGAGTTAGAATCAACTTGATGGCAGTGGGTGTGTTTACTGGCTTTTGAGCTTTATTTTTTACATTGTTTTTTAAGTAGTTGTTCCAAGGATTTCCATGTAAATCCTTACTATTTCACAGATTACTTAGGGTTAGTTTTGTACCATTTCCTATACTTAATCTCTACAAAGCATCACTAAACTGTCAATATAGCCCATGAGCAAATCCACATACCCAGAATCCTACACAGGTGCAACTTACTATTTTTGTTTTTGATGAAAATCGACCCAACAAACCATACAGCCATTGAACAACTTCTACATGTACAGATCAACGCCATTGGTTACATTCTTCACACTGGGCCACAGTTCTCATGACCTCTACCCATGTTGTGACACCATTAACTTTTACTCTTTCTGCCCCTTAATGTTCTCGTCTGCTTCCGAGTTACTGTTGTTGATTTTATCACATATCATTTGGTCTTTCAAAATATTGAAGGACAACATCTTTGTTGAGCTAAACTGTTGTTTTGTTTACAGGTGACTTCATGGGATAGTCTTGGTTCAAGATTTAAAGATTTCAAGACAGATTTCCCTAGAATCTGGTTTCCATAGGAATTTGATGTTCTGTTCCACATTTCCCTCCTTTTTATCAGGATCTATCTGTTGGGTCTTTAATCAAAATGTTCAGTAATGGTAACCAGGTGCCATCCATTTCTTCTGTCCCAAGGCAAGGGAGACAATTAGACCTGCAGCCCATTTCTTTCTCCAGTGCTGGGGGGAGCAGGGGGGTCCTTCTTCTGCTCCTGGCAAATGAAAACCAACTTGTATTTGGAGTTGCTGCTTGTAAGCTTTGAAGACCCAAGGCACACTACCTACCAAACTAGGAGGTAAAACAGACACTTCGAGTATAAAGGTTTTTTTTGAGAAATTATTTTAAAAGAAAATCTACGCACAAATAAAAAATGGGACGTATTCGTTCCTGATTGCTACTCCTAGATTGCAAGGTACCATTATATTCCTGCCCCCATATTATGGGAAAATCAGATAGCCCTGTTCTTGCAGTCCCTGTTTCTCTCATGCTTCACTTAAAAGACCTGCTCTCCCTAAATACTAAAATCTTCTCAAAGTAGTGAATTCTTTTGAGAGAATTCTGTCTTCTAACACCTGCTCCGCCCTTTACTTCAAAGCTTTTTGAAGTGAGAGCAGTCCAGTGTCCCTGTCTTCACTTTTCAATCCTCAAGCCCTACTCCACTGAAATGTACAGCTGTACTTCATGGCTAATGGGTAAGAGCAGGAGCTTTGCATTCAGACCTGGGTTCAAATCCTGGTCCTGCCACTTAACCTGGAAAATATTAGCTTCTCCGAAGCTCAGCCTCCTCCTCTATAAAACGGGTATGACAGTACGTCTCTGTTGGAGGGTTCAGTTACACTGACCTGAGCCTTTCTTCCTTTGGCATCCAAAACACCACTCTCTTTGATTTTCCTGTATCTTCTGCTTCTCTGGTCTCCTTTGTGGGCTATTTTGTTTCTCCCTTTCAATACTGGCTTTTCTTCTTGGGTCCTGGCTTCATAGTCCAAGCTGATTTGGGATGACTCCTTTCAAATACATGGTTTTAGTTATCACCCGAATCCAAATTACTCCTCAATCTTTACCTTCAAAGTAGATTTCACACCTGAAATTCATCTATATAAACAGATTAAGAGTTTTCAGAAGTAAACATATCTAAAACTACACTCCACAGTCAACTCTCAATTATGTGGCCCCATTGTTTCTTTTGGTGTGGCACTATGGGTTAATCATGTACTGGACTGCAAGGTCAGCTTGAATCACAAGTTAGGCGGTTCAAGCTCACCAGCTGCTCATACAAGGCAGGTATGAGTCGGATCAACTTAATGGCACTTAACAACAGCTCCTCTGTGATTTGTAAAATCCGTTCTTACAGTCTACTCTTATTTGCAACATGCCATCAATCTCCAAATTTTTGTTGATTTTAGCGTCTGCTCCTGAAAGAGAAAATCTCTTTCCTATCTTCGTCCTCCTCTGCGACTGTCTTAATTTACACGCTATCAGACCTTTTCGGCAACATGCAGACCCAACTCCACTCAGACGCTCAGATGTAAGTGAGCTGTCTCAGTTGTTCAGGGAGTCCAGCCCACTGCACAGGCTGCGGCATCGCTTCTAACACATTGCTGGGTCTTTCTGAGACATCAGAACTGAAGACACTTCTGCTCAGTTAACTTTAGCTGCTGCTTCAATTACAATGTCAGAACATCCCCAGTCGTAATACAAAGAACTCCAAACATAGTTTGGCTGAACAGAATCTGCCTTTGATGATGGGGATTAATGGGCGGGCCCTGCAGCAGAGGTCATGCGGGCAGCAGGCAGGAACTTGGCCTTTAGCTCCTTCCTCCTCCAGTTTCAAACTAGACTGGGAAACAGGTCAAGGAAAGCTGTGATGATGGGTTCTTTTTCAAAGTTTGTATTGCAATTTTTTACTTTTAATACCTGAAAAACAACTTTCCCTAAATAATTATGATGCGGATACATAATCTTTATTTTTTAAATGACATTTACAGATACTGTACTGATAACATCTGGTCAGTGGTTACAATGATTGTCTTAGATAAAATTCCTCACCAAGAAGCCTTATCTTTTTTTATATAGCCTCGGTGCTAACACCAGCCCAGCCCTTGGTTCCCCACTCATATCATACTGATGTGATCTGGCTCCACCCTCAGACTCCTGTCAAGAGACAGAATATAGGGACTTCTGGATTCCCTTTGAGCAAATGCAGCTGGGATACTCACCAGTTTAGTTTCTTTTCATCATTTCTTTTTCCTTTTAATACAAGTTTAGACTATTAGAGCTGGATTATTAATCCAAGATTTATGCTTGTATTGGGAGTTTCATCATCCCAGAACTACAAAGCAAACAGCTCAGCCTCTCCCTGCATGTAGGAAGAGCTCATTCATCCCGGAGATAAAAATTCTGTTGAGGGCAAACTGCTCCAAGTGCCCTGCTGCCTCCAGTAGCTCCACACATACGCAGAACCTTGAGTCTTGCTCCCACATTCTGAAAGGATCTTCCTAGGCTGTCTCCTCCTCAGTCCCTGGCAGACAGGGCTTCCCTCTAGACTGCTCCTGTTATCGTCATGCCCCCTGCATTGTCTGGACCCTGTAGTGCCCGGGCACGGTGCTGGCTTCCATTCTCTGCCTGTGCCACGTGACCTTGCCTAGTCTGCTATACCCTAACCAAAGCAGCCCCTACCCTGGGGCCATCTTCCTCCTCCTATTTTTCTCTTATGTCTTCAGATGCTCCAGTTGAGACAGGACCATCAGCTGGATTGGCTGCCACGGCGGGCTCTGGCTCCAGAGGGAGAGACGGTGGCTTTGTGAGCTGGGAAGTGCCTCCACCACCTACAGTGACGAAACAAAGACCCTGAATTCTCAGTTCCACAATTTCACAAGTCATTCTTTCTACAGCTAAATTTCAACAGGAAACACTGTTTTCTGAGACTAGTGGGCTGTGGTGGATCTTTACAGCCATGAGGGAAGAAATAAAGCAGCTGCCAACTTTGCCTTCAATTAGTCAATGAAGGAAATAATTGCTTCCCCTGCACCATGCCAACTTAGGAGGAGGCAACGACAATACAGAGCCGTGTCACAGAATGGACTCAGCCTATCTCTAACTGTGACACACTGGAGACCCAGAGTGGTGGCCACCCAACTAACCCTGACAATGGCTGTTACTTATACACAGCTTGCCTCAAGGAGACAGGCCTGACTCAGCGGCCCAGCCGCTTTTCTCTCCTCTGGGCAGCGCTACCCTGAGGCTATTGAGTCGGAAGTGCTAGGCCCCACTCACAGCTGCAGTCTTCTCCTACCTGCCGGAAGCTTCCTGTAGGCAGCTGCTGAAGACATTGCCTGTCCGAGAGCTTGATTAGAGCCCAGAGGCTGCTGGACACTGGCTGGTTTGAGGGCTGCTGTGCTCCGGTGCTTTGATTTGGGATCTTTAACTGGTTTAGTCCAAACCAGTGCCTCCCCAACCTGGAGAGCTGCTCCCAACTTCTGGGCCATCTCCACCATCTTGTATCAGCACAGGAAGAAAACAAACACAGGTATGGGTGGCAGAGACAAGCCGACCTGACCAATCGTAGGCCTTCCATCAGGATTTGAGCTGAAACAGGACAGCTGGGCCTGGGATAAGGAGCCCTGGTGGCATAGTGGGTTAAGTACTGGACTGCTAGCCAAGAGCTTGGTGGTTTGAATCTACCAGCTGCTTCAGAGGAGAAAAATGAAGCTGTCTGCTTCTGTTAAGCTATTCAGTCTCAGAAACCCTATGGGCAGTTCTACTCTGTCGTAGAAGATGGCTGACTCAAAATCTGCTCAACGACAACTGGTCTGGTTTGGGTTTGGGTTCTGGCATTTGAGGAAAGATGTACTTTTTGCAAGGAAATTGTTCTCAAACAGCAGAGAACACAGATTTCCCCAAATGGATGGCAAGGAGGTTTACATGGGATCTCAAAGTCCAACAATTCAAGTGTGTTGCATTACTGGGCTAAAGGACTGCTCTGCCTACAAGAGAAGTGGGAGGAAGGTATAACTAGACACAGATGAACGGTAATATCCATCACAATACCTCAGTAAACTTCAACTTTGATTATTAGTTTCTCCAGGAAAAGTTTTTCTTAGGCTCTTATTCATTGAAGAACTCATGCTGTCAGGCTCATCAAAGGCAAACCAGCCCTGAGCCTAGCAAAGACCTACCTCCGAATCAAATTCCAGAGAGCTGCTGTGCTTCAGCAGGGTGGCTTTCTTCTCCATCTCCTGGTACTGGGCCAGGGCGTTCCTCTTCTCTCCCTGGTTGTACAGCAGTACAGCGAAGTTCAGGTTCACTAAAGGGTTCCACCTGCAGCAGGCAGACAAGGCTTCTAAGGAGCTGAGGCTTTGCAACAAATGGGCCTATAGAGACCATTACAGAAAAACACAACGAAGCTCCACTACCCAGCAAGGCGGAGACACACATGCAGTGTGGACTGTGGGCATGAATCAAAGAATGAATGGCCACCCATGGGAGTAAAGGGATCTCCTCAGAAACCCTTTACAGGGTTGTGATGGGGTCGGAACCAACTCGATGGCACTTCACAACAACAACCCTATTTTCTGAGTCCATCAGTCGCTCCGTGGGAGAGAAAAAAGGAGGTTTTCTGCTCCCACCAAGAGGTACAGCCTTGGAAACCCTTTACGGGATCACTATGCGTCAGAAACGACTCGATGGCACTTGCCCCCACCATTCTGCTCTCTGGAGTCCCTGGTTGGTGTAAATGGTTAAAATGCTTGTCTGCTAACCCAAAGGTCTGCTCTGACTCCACCTGGTTGTTGTTACTGTTAGGTGCTGTCAAGTCAGTCCCGACTCATAGTGACCCTATGTAGTTCCACCCAGAGGCACCTCAAAAGAAAGGCCTGGTAATCTTCCAAAACACCAGCCTTTGAAAGCAGTGTATTGAAATTGCCCACTATTATTGTAGATTCGTGCATTTCTTTCTTCAAATCTACTAGAATTTGCTTCATATATTTTGGAGCTCTTTCATTGGGAGCATAGATATTATGGTTATGTCATCTTGTTCAATTGTCCCTTTAATCATGAGATGATGTCCACCTTTATCTCTTATGCTGGTTACTGCCTTAAAGTTTCTTTTATCAGAGATTAGTATTGCCACCCCTGCTCGGTTTTTATTGCAATTGGCTTGGTACATTTTTTTCCATCCTTTGACTTTTAATCTATTTTTGTCTCTGTGTGTGAGATGTGTCTCTTGCAAACAGCATATTGAAGGACCTTTTCTTATCCATTCTGCCACCCTCCATCTCTTAACTGGTACATTTCATCTGTTTACATTCAGTGTAATTATCGATATGTATGAATTCATTGCTGTCATTACAAAAAACCAGTCTTTGAAAACCCTGTGGAGCAGTTCTACTCTGACACACACAGGGTCCCATCAGTTGGAGTTGACTTGGCAGCCACTGGGAAAAACCCTGCTTCCTATCAGATGCCAGTGAAGCCAAGTTTATCTTAGATTAAACTCAACCCACAGGCCCTTCACATTGTCCAGCTTGCTGCTAGCTCTGGCCTCCTGACCACTAAATTTGGGATTAGAAACACTGTCTCAGAAAAGAACCAGTGTCAGTTCCTGCTGAGTCACTGTGTGCACTGAAGCCAGAGCTCCACTTAGGCCTCTGAAAGGCCACAGAGCAGAGCAGGCTGTCACTCAGCCAGCACCAGTGCAATGGCGCCACCTCGTGGTTTCCCCAACACCATTCCCAACAGAGCAGCTTACTTATCTAGGCGGACTGCTTCTGCGTAGGCTCTCTTGGCATTCTCTACATCTTCCAGATTGGTCAGAGCCACTGCAACAAGAAAGCGAGCACTGCAGCTCAAGAGCCCAGCTTAAAAGCAAAAGGAATATTTCAAGACCACAGTTCACTCAGCCCCAAACAGAATGCCTCCTTCACCCTGTCAGTCATTCAGCTTAGACACTTGCTGTCATGTTCCCCAACAATCCCCTCTCCAAAGCTCATCAGTTGTGAAGTCCTCCATATCCCACTTTGACAATTCCTCTTCTGCCGCTGGCTGTGTGCAGACCCAGGTCGTTTCTGGCTTTCCAGCTCCTTGGTGGTGATGTTCCCACCTGCCTCCACTTTACTGTCCACAACGCCACCAGGCATCTAGTAAATGTAGACTAATCTAACCAAGTCACTCCTACATTAAGAATCCTTTCTGGTTCCCCATTACCTACCACCCTGCTTTGTAAAGTTTTACTTGGCAACCAAACCCCTTTCTTAAAATCAGTGTTTCCTAGAAGCTTGCTCTATAAAACCAACGCAGGCAGAGCAGCTCTGGAAACCCTGCTCATCCCACCTGACACTTCCATAAGACACTGCCAAGGAAAGAGGGAACTCCAGTTTGAAAAGCACAGCCTCTAGGATAAAGCAGTAAGTCCTTAGGCTGTACCATGGCCCGCCATAGTGTGGCCCCAAACTATCTTTCCAGACTCCTCTCTCACCACAATCTATACCGCTGCTGCTAAAAACCGCAGGACACACCCTGCAACTGGATGGCCATGTGCCCTGGCTCACAGTGGCTCCTCGGCCTGAAACTTCCCTTGCCACCTTCCGCAATACTGAATTCCTTCCAAATCCATTGTGAAGGTCAGCTCTTACTTCCTAAAGGTCCAAGTGCTGCCTTACAGGATGTCTGTCTGTGTTCACCCTCACATCACCACCACCCAATCTGCCTTTGCAACCTTTTTCTTATAAATCAGAATCTCACAGTAATGATCAAAAAACTACCCGAAGACTACCACTAATGAGGACACGAAAGCTGCCTGAGGGTTTACATTTTAAGCAGCTTAATAAGCTCAGGATATGAAAAAAATGTCCCCCTGAAAGGACAGTGCCAGTACTTTTCAATTCAGTGCTTGACTTTACATAAGAAATGTTTAAGTTTGTTTGATTTATCTTCATTAATTTTTGTTTTAAAAGTCCATTTTATTCCATACAAATTCAAAAATCAATTTTTGAATTTGTATGGAATAAAATGGACTTTCAGGAAATGAACCACATTCCATATACCATTCTGCTCAAAGGAGATAGATTCGAGTTTCAACGTAGACTAGCCTGACTTAGAATGACTACCAGAGGCCAATTATGTTACAATAATAACAATACTGGAATCCTGGTGGGGCACGGTAAGGATAAGCACTGGACTACTAACCACAAGGTAAGTGGTTCAAACCTACCAGCTGCTCCTTGGAAAGCCTATACAGGGTCACTATGAGTCAGAACCGACTCGATGGCACTAACAACAGTAACAGAGCAGGTGTAGACACCAAAAACACTACTCACTGCTCAATCATGCCGTCCTCACATCAGTCCTATGACGGAGACTAGCAAGTGGTGGAGGCAGATCCCATCTAAGGCCCAAGCTCTTTGTAGTCATGAAATCTGAGACTTAGTTGGGCTCAATATATACAAACTGTCAAGCCAAGAGAAGAAAACTAGCAAAAGGAGAACTAGGTGTCCTCCTGATTTACCCTGCTGGATCTCTGCATAAAAGTCCCATCTAAAATCTTCTCTTCTAGCTCCATGCCAGAACCTACGAGGGACCAGCTCTCCACTGGGACGGCGGGCCTCAGACTCCTCTGATAAGAAAGCACGTTTTCCTCATTACAAACCCAGGAAAGGTTCTGCATAAAAGTGTCTCTCACCAGCCAAGAGCATGTAGAGCTCTCCCATCTTTGGCTGGAAGTTGATGGCTGCACTAAGAAAATGGAAAGCTGATGCATACTGCTGCATGGTCAAGTGGACGAGCCCCAAATTGTATAGAATCTTCCAGTCGAAGGGTGCCAAGTAGTTGGCTCGTTTCAGACAGCTGATAGCCTGCAGGAATGAGGGAACACGTGATGAGAGGGGGACCAGCTCAACCAACCCAGTTAACTACAAGCAGGAACACACATAGCACAGGAGACTCACTGCCACGTATTTCTTCTTGCCAAAGAAACACATCCCAATGTTATTCCAGAGTGGGGGACTCTCCGGCACGGCACAAGCCACGACTCTGTATTTGGTCAGGGCAACATCAAAGTCCCCGTGGGTCTGCATCATGCTGCCAGCTGCCAAGATGGCCTGAAACATGGGACATGGGACATGGGAAAGTGAATCGTTCAGTCAATCCCAGAAGACTGTAGCCGTGAAGTGGTCTCCCTAAGTATGGACACTCAGCACAGATGGGGCGGGAAAACTTCTTCCAGGGGCACATGTGTTCAAGGTATTAGGACAAGTGCGCATAAGAACTGTCCCTCCACTCTAGTGGGGCACTCGGGAGAAATACAGACAAAGAAAGGATAAAACGCCGTTGGCTTTAACTAGTTCATTTGATACCTGCTTCTAGACAGGGCAGTCAGTATTTTCAAATACTGGCGTTAATCTACTCCCTGCAGTTCCTCCTTGGTACACCAAATACTCTGGACACTTGTCCTTGGCTACTTAAGCTAGAGCTTCTTCTGCCTTAAGACAGAAGGTAAGGGAGCTGTGGTGTCCAGCCCCTCTGACTTCTCTAAGGAAACGAGTCAGGGTGGGGAGCTGAGCAAACTAGGGGTTGGTCGAGTCAGGGGAACAGGAATCAGGACTGAGCTTGCATCCTGAATACACATTACGAGTCTCCTCTCCCTTGTTGGTCCTTAGCTACTTGATCATCTTCCTTCTCATCCCCAGTGACACCTGTACTAGGCTGTAACCTCAAAATTCTTTAGGGCTCTCTAAGTCATTTCTGACATTGCTAATTTCCCAAGTAACACATCATCCTCCCCAGCACTACAATTTCACAAAGGTGCTCTTTAGAAGGTATGAAGCAGAAAGCACCAACACTTCACAGTGTTTTCAAAAAGTGGAATCACCCTTCATTTAAACTTTTGCTAATAAAAGGGGCCTTTCTCGGGAATTCAAAACAAACAGGCTATACCCTCGCTTTCTGGAATCAGTGCCACGAAGCCCGGAATATGACGGGGCTGGGGCCTGGCAGCCTACAATACCTTGTAGTTGGTAGGGTCATAAGTCAGTGCATTTCCAAGGTGTTCAAATGCCTTCTGGTAAATGCCAAGCTTATGGAATAAAAACAAAGCAGAGAATTCACATAAGAGGAGAGACAGGAGTTAAGGAGTCTGGTCAACCACATCCCAAAGAGAAGCACTCAGATTCTGATTAGTTCCCTGGACAAAAACTGAAAGAACTACAGATAGTAGATAAAGAAAATCCAAATCCCCGTAATTAGCTGTGGTTTTCCCTATTTTGATTTGTCCCCTGATAGGATCTATTAGCAGGAAGCATCGATCAGATCACTCTTACATTAGTGCCATCCCACAGTAATTGGCAGGAAATGGATCAGGGTTAGCCTCATCTCCCTCCAGGCCAACCTCTTATACCAAAGCCCAGGGGACCCAGGGATACTGGGTTAAGCTCCTGCTTCCTTTTAAAGAAAAACAAAACTTAACACGAAGACTACCACAGAGCAGAGACAGAGGCAAAGACGAAGGCAGGATCATGAGCAGGGGACTCAGGAAGGTGGTGAGAGGAGGCTTGATCAAGAGAGTCGACGGAGCTGAGCATTCCCACTCAGGGACTCCCCTGAGTCTTGGTCTGAGTTCACTCTTTATCACTTCCCTGTAGGACCCTCTTATCCCCTTTTTACAGAACCCTGCTTTGGAGAAGATGTAACAGAAATGGCCTTTGTCCCAAAACCCCAGATAGTACTCACATTTATCAGGTTTTTTCCCCATAAGAAAATAACCAGACAATTTTCTCCTAAATGCTCTTTCCTTAATTGGATGAGAATTATATACTGGGTCTAAACAGAAATTCCTTTGACTTGAATGCAGAAAACTGATTTAATTCCTTTAGCAGACAAAGAATATAAAATGCAAAGACCAAGATTCTTGGATCTCACAGGACCACTGGTCAAATGGGTCAAAGTTGTGTCAAAATGCAGGGAAACCACCATTCACCCAAATCCAAGAGCATTTCTAACACCAGTGTGTGGATGAGTAAAGAGTTACATTACCTGTAAGTAGAGTAATCCTAGAGTTGTAAGAAGTTCTGTGTTTTCTGGTGAGAACCTGCAAATACAGGTCAGCTATGGTCAGAAGAGAAAGCCACTGAGATACATTCCTAGTCATCTGGCCACTGAGACACATTCCTAGTCATCTGGCCTCTCGCAGCACCTAGGATGCAGGTGAGCCCCCTGTACCCATGGAAATTCCTGAAGGGAATTTGGGAATTTCCTGTAAAAGTCGGCCATTTCAGCTCTGGCCATAAAGAGAACTGCTGCTCAACCAAGAAACAAAGGAGAATTCAAATTAGGGCTTCACACTGATTCAGCCCAGTTTAGCTGTGGCTGAATAAGAGACACCAGAACAGATCTTCATTTAAACTGTGAGGAAGTTAGACCGCTAACCAGGATGGGGACTTATTGGCTGAAGCCCTGCTAGAAACTTAACCCCCCTTAGAAGGCACAGGCAGCAGGTGCACTGCACAGCATCCAAATCAACAGCATCAGCCTCAAAGATCCACTCAGGCAAGAATCCACTGTCATGCGTGCACCAGACTGCTAAAGAGGCTCTGCAGGCTTCTTCCAAGTCTCCCATTCCAGGGTTTCGACCTACAATTTTTCCCATTCTGGTTAGCATCCCAGATCAAGAAATGTCTTAAATTTGGGTGATCTGGAATGCTAACCAGAAAGTGATTTTTTTTTGGATCTGTTCTGGTGTTGCTTCATTTGCCCTGGCTTTGTTTGAACCACTTAGAAACCTTCCTTACGATGCAAACTGCCCCCTGCAGGGCCTTTTCTCATGGTCAAAGTCTGACTTCCCCCCCAGAAAGAATCTATGGAATGTTTGGGTGACTTGTGATTTGAGTCATAGAATTCAACACAAGTTAAAGCCAGCTCCTTCTGTGGGAGTTTTCTTTCTCATTGTTTTCTGCAAGCACAATGCTACAACACCTATATAATTTAGGATCCCCAGAGGCCCCTTTCTAATGCTTTGCTCTCCAAATTAAACACAAAGCCAAACTAAACAAAAGAAGAGATGCAGGAACCAGCCCCAGGAAGGAATTAGCCATTGGCCTTTGGGAATAAACACTGGCTGATGTAAAAAATTATCTGTCTTCTCAATTCCTCACTGGTATTTGTCTTTGTCACAAAACCAAAACAGCTCTGAGCTGCGATGATCCGACTGCAGGATCCTCAAGCAGTCTCAACAGGGAAAAAGCCAAAGGTCAAGGAACAACGTTTCCTCCTCCTGAGGAATGACACTGAACACTGGCACCTCTGGGAGGACAGAGCCAGGAGTGGCCTGAGCTGCTCAAACAGAGCTGACTTGGTAAAACAGAGGTTACAAATGTCTGACTTACACAACTTTTTGGTTTCCTTATTTTTTTTTTTTTGCCTATAATTGTCCTACTTCAAAGGAGCCCTGGTGACACATTGGGCTGCTAACCAAAAGATCGCTGGTTCAAAATCACCAGCCGCTCTGTGAAAGAAAGACGAGGCTGTCTGCTCCTATAAAGGTAGTCTCAGAAACCGCAGGGAGCAGTTTAGAGGGCCATTACGAGTCAGAACCGACTCGATGGTACCTAACAACAGCAACATGAGTCAAAATGGATTCCATGGCAGTGGGCTTGGTTTCTGGCTTTGGGTCAAGCAGCATGTGTCAGCAGCAAGAGCTCCTCAGCATGGTTAGGTTACACAGTTTGTTATCAATGGGCATCTGGCTTCCTTTAATGAATGACATTTCAATAACACTGATCTCATGCTAGGAAGGCCAGAAGTTTATTAGGGAATCAGGAGATTTCTGTCCCTAAAAAATATCTCTGGAAACACAAGATTTGCCCTAAAGTGTAAAACTACAGTATGGTAAACTGCCAGCTAACCCCCCAAATCTGTTCTCTTCTTCCTTCTGGGTGCATGCCGCTGTGATTCTAGGTCACTTACTATTTCCTACAAGCTGCTGGCTTCCTGCACCCCCAGCCCACACCCAACTTCAACCATATAAAGATAACCACCTAAGGAGGGCTGGGTCAATAAGCAAGGAGCAGGAATCCCTCCCTAAGTGACCTTGGAGAGCAGAGATGCCCAGCTAGCCTCAGCCAGCTGTACTAATACGTAAGAAAGAAACAGAAACCTACTTAGCCTTAACTTTAGCTTAATTAACTTTACTCATAAAAAACACATATGAGGAAATGTCAGAAAGTTCATGAAAAAGTGGAATGCGAAGATAACGGATTCTCTCCTAAGCTCTGGAGATCAAGTATGGGCTCCCATTGTCTGTGAAGTTTCTCCTTACTCAGGGGAAATACACACTTACTCCACTGCTTTCTTGTAGATTTCGATGGCCTTGTCCAAGTCTCCCTCCAGCAGGTGAATCTTCCCCAGCATTATGAACGTCAGATCATGCTTACTGAGCTGTAGAGCATTGTGCAACTGGTCTTGTGCCTAACATGGTTGATGGAGTAAAGAGAACCCAATTGTTACCACTGAAAGGTAAAAGGTCATGGCTTTATATGACTAATGTAGAGACAAAGCTCCTAGTAGACTAATGTCCCATGTCAGCAAACAGCCTGCCACTAGTCCAGAACAGGACTGCTGGCAACATGGGGTGTTAGCCTCTGGAGCCACTTGGGAGAATTTATACAAGGTGTTTTCTGCTTCTTGATATTCACACCAATGACTCAGACTTCCTAAGTCAAAGGAAGCATTATGACAGAGGACAGACTACTGCACTAAACTTCATTCCATCTGTACCACTGACCAAGTGTGCAACCCTCCCCAGTGTGGGTCTCAGTTTGCCACCAGTATGACAATGAATGAATGAATGTTTCTTACTCATTCACTCAACAAGCATCCACTGAGTGCCTGCTATTCTAGGTGTTACAGATACTAGTTAACCACCTCTTTGTTCTGGAGAAGCTTAGATCCTGGTACGAGAGTGCTTCAAAAAGTCCATATAAAAATGCAATTAATTGAGATCATTGAATTTTTCTATGAACTTTCTGAAGCCTCCTCAAAGATGATCATTTATAGACTCCACAAATGTTTATGTAAATGCCAAGTACTGTGTTTTGCATTGCCTACTAGCTTTATATGAAATCTACTTCTTCTCATTGTCCAGGTCCAACCAAAGGCCAATCCTGCCTCTCCCTAGGTTCATAGTCACCTATGAATAAATAAGAAACATACCAGCTCAAAATATTCTCTGACGAAAAAAGTCTTCCAACCAAATACATTAAAAACGAAAAAACTCTATGTAGGTCTATTCAGAAAATGAAGGGGCAAACAAAATGTAAATAAATTCATACCTATGTGTGTGTGTACAAGTGTACACACACACATATTTTATGGAAGAAAGTTACACTTACTTACACCTCCACGGCTAAGGTACAGATTTTTTTTCACACCCCTAAGGAACAGATTCAATTACAGCAGTTTTCAAATGATCACGAATTAACCAATGTCAAATGGGTATTAATTCATCAGATTCTTAGTCCTGTCGGCAATGGGGGCCTGCCAGCAGTAAAACTTGGCAATTACAAAGTTAAAAGTACCTATCATTATGTATCATTAACTTGTGGAGCTCTCAAAAATTCAGTCTAGCCCTCAATTAAGGTACATATTTTTTCTTGATCTAACTACCAAGGTTACCGCAAATGGTATCTTCTGATATAGGGGCCCTGGAGCCTACAGCTTAATCACAATGAAAACAAACGTTACCTTAAAAACGGAAAACTCAAAAATCAGATACACTTAAAATTAACAATGACCTTGAACACTAAAATCAGTCGCTGTCAGAGCCTAAGAGAGCCCACATGGCCAGGACCACACCTAGGAGACGTTAGGGATCTGTCCACTCTTTGATATCTGAGTTTCATTGAACATTTGTTTCTAAACTGGGTGGAAGAAAAAAGAGAGAGGAGAAAAGCAAACAGATAGTCTTTCCCACATAATGTTTCTAGATTATTTCATTTTCTTGTTAAAACCAGGAAGAAAAAAAAATATCAGGTTTTTAGGGTATTCATTTAACAATTACTGATAATGACCAATTACAAGTGGGAAATGGGAGTAAATGCACACGGCACACTAACTTTTCATTTCCTAGCACCCCAGCAAGCACTAAGAATTACACAGAAAGAATGTGTGTACCCTCAACAAAATCCCAGGCAACCAATCAACTGTTACCACCATTTCTACACATTACCTTGTTGAACTGCTTCAGGTAAATGTAGCAAACCCCTAGGTTATGGCAAATCTCCTGCACACAAAAGAAAGGTAAAGGCTTAGGTGTCAGAGCAGATATTAGCAGGAAGCAACAGGCACCTAGGGACCACTGTTGCTCAAGCAAAGTCTAAAACTTAAGCTTCTTCTCCTAGTTGATACTCAAGCCAATTCTCTATCCTTTCCTCTGAAACTCAAGGTTCCAGGATTATGACCCGGATCTGTTTTATTTGGTCTCTCGTGTCTCTGCTGTAGAGGGTCCAGGTAGCATGTCTGCTAGTATGCCATCTTACCGGATGTCCAAAGCCTAAACTCTAAAACATGCACTACTGTTAGGTTTTTTTTGGTGGTTTTTTTTTTTAACTAGAGTTCATACTAACTCAAATAAATTTAATTCCACACAATACATTCCGTAACATTAAAAAAAAAAAAAATAGCAAATTATGAGAAGCCGAATCAGCACCTGCTCTTCGTGGCCTTGTGTGACACCCAGGCCACCCCTAAGAGCTGTTGTCTACCATCCAAGCTCTCATCTTAGAAGACACTACTCACAGGTCCTGGCAAAAGAGCAGTTGGCCACACTGTCCCATCCCTAAGACCACATAAGCCTGAACGCCTGAGCCATTCAGATTCCTTTTGCTGGAAATCTGGTTTGGGAGAGATGTGGCTAGCTTCAAGCACCAGATTGACTAAGTTATGTGGACTTGGGAGGTGACAGCACTATCTAAATGCCACCATGATGGGATATATGTCATTGGAGTTGGTCTACAGAAGTCTACAGCAGAAGTCAGAAAAACATGGGCTGTGGGCCAAACCTGTTCCTTGCCTTTCTTTGTAAATAAAATTTTATTGGAACACAGTCATACGTTTGTTACGTATTGTCTATGATCTTTTATACTATAACTGCAGAGCTAAGTAGTTTCAACACAGACCATACGGAGCCATAAAACTTCATATATTTACTACCTGGTCCTTTACAGAAAGTCTGCCAACCCTATGGGTTGGTAACAACTCAATGTCACTTAACAACAATGATGACAACAATCTACAAAATAAGGGAACAGCGCAGGTCCAGGCAGTGCGTTGCTGCACACAGGGTCACTATGAGTCAGAATCGACTTAATGACACTTATAAACAACAATCTATAGAACAGTCTTGGAATGGCGCTGTAGGATAAGCACAGGACTGCTAACCATAAAGTCAGTGGTTCAAACCCACCAGCAATTCCTTGAAAACCCTACACATGATCACTGTGAGTCAGAACTGACTTGATGGCACTTAACAACAACAACAACAATAATAATACACAGAACCACCATTCATCTGTCAGTCAGTCATACTGTGGTGGCTTGCATGTTGCTGTGATGCTGGAAACCGGGCCGCTGATATTTGAAAGACCAGCAGTTTCATCCACGATGCACAGATTTCAGTGGGGTTTCCAGACTAAGACAGACTAGGAAAAAGAGGCAGACCACTTCTGAATGGTCTACTAACAGCCTTATGAATAGTAGTGGAACATTGTCAGATCTAGTGACAGAAGTTGGAAATATTATAAATAGCACCAGAATATTGTCAGATATAGTGCCGGAAGATGAGCCCCTCAGGTTGGAAGGCATTCAAAATACAACTGAGGAAGAGCTGCTTCCTCAATGTAGAGTTGACTGTGATGACACAAACTGAGTAAAGCTTTCGGGACCTTCATTTGCTGAAGCGACACAACATAAAATGTGGAGAAACAGCTGTAAATATCCATTAATAATCAGAACATAGAATGTACGAAGTATGAATCTAGGAAAAGTGGAAGTTGTCAAAAATGAAATGGAACACATAAAGATCAAAATTCTAGGTACGTTTGAGCTGAAATGGACTGGTATTGACCATTTCGAATCTGACAATCATATGGTTTCCCATGCCAGCAATAACAAATTGAAGAGGAATGGCATCAAAGTCATCGTCAAAATGAACATTTCAAGATTTATCTTTAGGTATAATGCTGTCATTCCTTCCAGGAAGACCAGTTAATACCACTACTGTTCAAATTTACACATCAACCATTCAACTGATGAATTCTAACAAAATCTTCAGTGTGAAATTCATTAAACAATCATAAAGTAATCAACAAGTACTGATAATTACTAGTGATTAGAATGCAAAGGTTGGAAACAAAGATGAAGGATCAGTAGTTGGAAAATATAGCCTTGGTAATAGAAATGATGCTGGAGATCACATGATAGAATTTTGCAAAAGCAATGACTTACTCATTGCAAATACCTTTTTTTAAACAACATAAAAGATGACTTTTACACATGGACCTCACCAGATGGAATACACAGAAATCAAACTGACTGTATCTCTTCTGTAGGAAGAGATGGTGGAAAAGCTCCATTTCATCAGTGAGAACAAGGCCAGGGGCAGACTGTGGAACAGACCATCAACTGCTCACAAGCAAGTTCAGACTGAAGCTGAAAAAGTGAAAACAAGTCCAAGAGAGATAAAATATGACCTTGAACATATCCCCCTGAATTTAGAGACCAGCAAATCAAGAACAGATTTGCTGCATTAGATACTAATGACCAAAGACAGGGAGTTGTGGGATGACATCAAGAACATTATCTAGGAAAAACAAAAGTTCATTAAAAAGACAAAAAAGAAAGAAAACACCAAAATGGATGTCAGAAAAGACTCTGAAACTGGCTCTCCAGTGCACAGATGTTAAAGCACATGAAAGAAATAAGAAAGTCAAAGAATCTATACTTATGGATGTAGTAGCTCAAAAAAGGGTACAAATCTTTACAGTGAGGATCACTCCCACCCCATCGGTACACAGAGTTGACAGGGATGAGTAATTTAGACACTGGCTACCCAAAATGTGGGTAGCCTATAAAGGCAAGAAATGACTGGCTTACAAGCTTTTAACAGGGAGCCTAGTTCCAGACAGGGCCGGGGAAGGCAGAATCACCACTGAATGATTTCCAAACCGTTGGGACGGCCTGGCGAAAGGAAATGGAGATAAGACTCTTGTGGTACAATAATGAATAATTGCCATCAGGACTGACTGTGAGGCTAGGAAATACAGAGGTAGATGTTTCTGACAAAAGGAGGAGAGTGATTGATTTTTGCAGCCCAGGAGCAGAGGTCCCTGGGACCATCAAGTGAGAAGAGCAGAAAGTGGGATCCTACCCAGAGAGGCGGAGACGCCAGGGATGGAGACAGAGACGATGACGTGGACAGATGGAGCGGCTGGGGATACTGGACTCAGGGAGGGAGAAGGGCTGTGTGCTGGCAGCCGGGAGGCAGGCCTGTGTGGTGTACCCTTTGGTTATTTGATGATGCATGGAGGGGACTGTAATCATTGCAATGAAACGAAATACAATAGGATGAGTATAAAGCTGATGTTCTCCCATGTACACCTCACAATAAAAACTTTAAAAAATCAAAGAGCTGAAGAGAAAATTTCAAAGATCAGCTTGAGAAGACAAAGTCAAGTATTATAATGAAATGTGCAAAGACGTGGAATTAGAAAAAAAGAGGGAAGAATAAGCTCAGCGTTTCTCAAGCTGAAAGAATTCTTAAGAAAAAGCCTCGACTTGAACTACTGAAGCATTCTATGATCAAAATATTGAATGATACAGAAAGCATCAGAAGATGGAAGGAACACACACAGTGACTTTACCAAAAAGAAATGGGTGATGTTCAACAATTTCAAGAAGTAGCATACAATCAAGAGCCAATGGCACTGAAGGAATTCAAGGTGCACTGATGGCATTGGCCAAAAACAAGGCTATGGTAACTGATGGAATACAAAGTGAAATCTTCCAACAAACTGATACAGCATTAGAGGCAGTCACTCATCTGTGTCAAGAAATTTGGAAAACAGCTCCCTAGCCAGCTGATTAGAAGAGATCCGTATTTGTGCCCATTCCAAAGAGAAATGAAATCATTGATATTTAAATTACATTAATATTGCATGCAAGTAAAATTTTGCTGAACTGATGAATTCAAAACAGTTGCAACAGGGAACTGCCAGAAGTTCAAGATGGATTCAGAGGAGGATATGCAATGACGGATGTCACTACTAATTTCAGATGGATCTTGGCTAAGCGAGAATACTGGAAAGATGTTTACCTGTGATTTATTGACTATACAAAGGCTTTCAACTATGTGCAGCATGACAAACGATGGATAACACTGTGAAGAACGGGTATTCCAGAAAACTTAATTGTGCTCATGAGGAACCTCTACAAAATCCAAGTTGTTCAAACAGAGCGTGGGACTACTGAATGGTTTAAAATCAGGAAAGGTGTGTGCCAGGGTGGTATTCTTTCACCATACTTGCTCAATCTGTATGCTAAGCAAATAATCCAAGAAGATGGATTACATGAAGAAGAATGTGGCATCAGGATTGGAGGAAGACTCATTAACAACCTATGGTACCCAGATGATACAACCTTTCTTTAGCAAAGAGGACTTACTTCAAGCTTACTGTAAGCAAAGAGGACAAAAAATATTTACTGATAAAGATCAAAGACTACAGCCTCAGTATGAATTGCACCTCAATGTAAAGAAAACAAAAATCCTCACAACTGGACCAATAAATAGTATCATGATAAATGGAGAAAAGATTGAGGTTGTCAAAGACTTTCTTTTGCTTGATCCACTGTCAGCACTCATGGATGCAGCAGTCAGGAAATCAAATGATCGATGTATTACTACATTAGGCAAACCTGCTGCACAAGACCTCTTTAAAGTGTTCAAGAGCAAAGACGTCAGTTTGAGGACTAAGGTGCGCCTGACCCAAGCCATGACAGTTTCAATAACCTCATATGCATGTGAAAGTTGGCCAGTGAATAAATAAGAGTGTGGAAGAACTAATGCATTTGAGTCATGGTGTTGGAAGAGAATACTAAAAGTACCATGGACTGCCAGAGAACAAACAAATCTGTATTAGAAGAAGTACAGCCAGAGTGCTCCTTACAAACCAGGAGAGCAAGACTTCGTCTCTCATACTTTGGATATGTTACCAGAAAGGACCAATCCCTGGAGAAGGAAATCATATTTGGTAAATTGAGAGTCAGCGAAAAAGGAAGACCCCAACGAGATGGACTGGGCAGTTACTACTGAGCCAGCAACGGGCTTCTGTGTAACAATTGTGTGGACGGTGCAGGACCAGGAGGGAATGCTTTCTGTTGTGCACAGGGCTGCTATGAATCGGAGTTAATTCGACAGCACTTAACAACAACAAGGACAATCTACAGAAAGAAAAAAGGAAGCAAATGTATAGAATAACTAGCTACGTTGGCTGCTGACTGCTTTCTAGTTCTAGTTCAAGTCTAACCTGTATTTCCTGACCTTAAGTTCTATGAATCTTTCAAATTACCTCATAATACATCCCTCTTTACTTAAGATAGCTTTAGAGAAAGGCAAAAACAATGGCAAAATAGTTGCTCTTGGGAATCAGTCAGTACCACCCTGTTTGAAAGGTAGTATAGTTATGAAGAAATAGGATTTTTGACCCTACAGCTAGTCAAATCAAGTATGAGTATAAAATAAAGACATTCTGGCATTCAATAATAACTTAGGACAGTCAAATGTTAAATGGAACCATGAACATGTTTACTACTAAAAAAGAACTGGACGTTCTCTGCTTACCCAATCTCTCTGATTAAGCTTGGCTGCTTCATTATATACTTCTACAGCAGCTTTATGTTTTCCCAAAAGAAATCTGTGGAAGAATTACATTTTCCATAATTATTACCTCAAACCTCCTACTTAAAACATAACCACCTGAGCCTTACCTTTCACTCGTATTCCACCCAACAGCAAATTCTAGACGCCTTTTCCTTACAAGCTAGTTGCACCAGTTTGGCTAGTGAGGTTCCTGTTAGGACTCTGAACTAGTTCAGTCATGGTTGACGAAGGAAAACTGGAATAAACTCAAATTTTTAAAAACCTGGGGTAATCCAGAATGCTAACTGGAACAGGAGAAATGACGAGTGGAAGTCGTGGAATGGGAGCCTCAGAAGAGACGCAGAGAACCCTCAGGAGCCTGGTACATGGCGCTGGGTTGTTGTCAGGCCTGGGCAGAGCAGCACACATCTGAAGCAGTGTGGGTGGCCACCAGCCCTGAGCCGAACACCGTTGTTTCAAAGTTAACTCAGTCAAAGAGATCTGGATGCTACGCAACGTGCACAGCTGCCCTTGTTTCCTAAGAGGGAGACTGACTTCCTAATACAACTTCAATCTGTCACTGTTTCCATTCTAGTTAGCATTCTGGTGCATCACATTTTAAAAATTCTGGTCTGTTCCAGTGTCGCTTCACTGGCCACGACTGAAACAGGTTTGACGCACCGGCACCTGGAAATTAATGTCAAAAATTCTTGTGGTAAGGCTTTCACTGGTAGCTGTCCCAGGGCCTTGATCCCATTCTCTACAACTTTGAATTAAATCTCCTATGACGTTTTTTTCTCAGCGTCCTGGTGTGGCGCTGCGGGTTAATGTACTGGACTGCAAGGTCGGCAGTTCAAGCTCACTAGCAGCTCCTCGGAAACCTAGATCGAAACCGACTGGACAGTACTTAACAACAACAATGATGAGGGCTTTTTTTCTACAATGTACTACACAAATGTAAATCAAAACAGAATTAAGCCAGATCATCAACCAAATTAAGCAAGAGCTGCCATCATTGATTATCCATGGATTATCCCTCCCAAACCTAACCTACTTTCTCGGACACTGGATCAAGAGTCTGGAGAGAAACAGGGAAACCAGGGCTCTATACAAGACAAAACAGGTATGACAATGCAAAGCAAACGGATACAGGGTCTACTATTCTACTCAGAAAAGAGGGTGTTCCTAATAGTACCTAAGGACTGGAGATTGCTAATGTTCCGGAGCCTATGGGCATTCAGTGACTGAACACTTACTGAAAACCTACCGGGTGTCATGTTCTAGTTTTAGGACAGTAGATGAGGAAACTGCCATGGACTGTCAATACGACCAAGGGACCCAGGGCACAAACTGTCACCATTCACATTGTAAACAGTGTCAGTGTTCTCTCATTAAAACAGAACACACAGTATCTGAAATACTCGGTTCCCTAACACTAGTTATCTTGTAACATTTCAATATCAATTCACACTCTTAAAAGTGAATCCCAACAGATGTCCTAAACCATGTTCCCCAGGTATCAAGCACTCGCGCTGCCTGCAGCAGCCTCCCCCTGAGAACGCATTTCACATTGTGTTCTGGGAATACTCTAGGGCTCTCGAGTCAGCACTCACAATGATCTGGCCACCTGCTTGAGGGTGTCAGCACACTGAGGACTGAGAACGGCACAAGTCTGAAAGAGTTCTAGAGATTCCTGGATATGTCCTTCCAGGCGAAATATCAATGCTGCCAAAAAACACAGAAAACACAGAAAATTAAAGCATGTCCTGAGAAGAAAAGTGCCTTGAGAATGAGAAAAACTGGAGAATGAGGTAGGAAATCATATGAAAGAAATCCTGTGGCTAATTCTATCTTTAATAAAATCAGATATAACTTCAAATGGGATGGGTTATATATGCAGAGGAAGCCTGGAGAGAAGTAGCAAAGTTAATGACAAACTAAAACATCTTTTAATAAGAAAGCTCAAACCTCCTTACTCCTCTACTCCCAGTATCTACCACCACACAGATAATCAATGCAAGGTCAGATAATTGAAAATTTTAATATAATATAAGGTCAATCCAAGAATCATCTGGATTTCCAGCAGCCCGGCAAGGAAACTAAATGCACAATTCTATTTACAACAGTATCTAAAAGAATGAAGGAAAAAAAAAAAAAAAAGGCTAAGAATAAATTAAACCAGAGAGGTAAAAGACTTGTACACTGCAAAATATAAAATATTAGTGAGAGACCTAACTGAATGGAAAAGCATTCCATGTTCCTGTATTATAGGCTATAACACTGTTAAGATATTAATGCTACCAAAAGCAATCTATATATTTAACTCAATCCCTACCAAAATTCCAACAGCCTTCTTTGAAGAAATGAAAAAGCCAATTCTCATATTTATATGAAGTTGTAAGAGGCCCTGAATAGCCAAAGCAATCTTGAAAAGGAGCAGCAAAGCAGAAGGACTTAAGCTTCTCAACTGTAAAACATATTACCAAGCTATAATAGTCAAAACAGTCTGGTACTTCTAGGACAGACGACAGATATATGGGTAAATGGAATCAATCCTCCAAGTCCAGCATGGAGATTCTAGCAGAAAATACAATACTATTTTAGACTTTGGTTTTCAGTATAATAGGTTTTGTTTTTGTTTTTTCCAATCAGAACCAAGAATTTTTCCTAGTTCTCAGTTTTCAGAAGGAAATGCACCCTTAAGTATTGCTAGGCATTGAAAGTCTGGGATTTATGATACTGGGGATAAAAAGCATCTTTTGTGTCATAATGACTTATTATCCTACCAATGCTATCAGAAAAGTATATATTAATCATGTGACTACGAGTGCAATGAATGGTAAACTAAAATCATTCATTTACATCAAACAGTCAAAAATGTTTGTGAAAACAGTAAGTATACTACTTTTAGCATTACAGGGTGAAGTACAAGCCCTAACTCCTATATTTGGTTTCTGATTAATTCAACTTACTCCCTGTTTATCCTGTATAGTATACCTTTAGGCTTATTCCCTCCATTCTGACTCACCTTACAAAAATCCACATTTAGCTTGACTACAAGGAACCCTTCTGAAAACATCTTCTGGCCCTGAAATCACCGCTTAAGGCAGGAATCCTAAGCATCCACTCTGAAAAACTATGGCCAGAAACTAAAAACAAATTAGGGACCGAAGTAAATTATTTTTTAAACTTATCAGTCATTTCTAAATGACTCCTGGTGTGATGCTCTAGGATCAGCACCAGATTGCAAACCATACGGTTGGCAGTTCAAACCCACCAGCTGCTCCTTGGAAACCCTACATACACTCACTATGAGTCAGACTGACTGACTGGATAGCACCTAACAGCAACAGGCATTTCTGAAGTCAAATCCAGCATAAGAATGATCATCAGATTTTAAAACCAGAGAATACTGAGTAAGACCTTTAAGGAACATGTATTTTGATTTAAATACTTCACAAGTTGTTTGCTCTTTTCCAGAAACTAGATTGTCTACTTCTCTAGTAGGAAAAAAATAAAATGTATTTTCTTACCTTGCACATAGATGGCATATTCACACAACCCCTGAGTCTCCTTAAGCTGTTCTTTGATAACAGCCTAAAAAGAAAAGAGAAACAATTCTGAGTACATATGTGGGTACTGCAATCAATGCCACAAAACAAAATGTGTATGAATTATTGCAAAGAAAACCAATGTACTCCATACATTTTCACTCAAATCACAATAAAAAGTAAAAAAAGAAAAGACAGAAACACAGAGGAACACATACAAGGGAATCACTACTAGAGTTCCAGTTGGTATACGTACAAGCTTACTCCAAACGAAACGTGGGTAAACACGTGTCTGCAATCAGTGGACAGTTACAGACAAGTTCTCTCTTTGTCTCATTCAGGTGCCTTCAAAAGAAAGTTCCAATCAAAAGAGTGGTTTCCAAGGGGCTCTGCTAAGCCAGTGAAACTCAAGGCAAAGAGGTCAGCTAAGAAGGTTTTGTTTCGGGGGATCCCAAAAGGGTCATCTCAGTAGATTTTCTTGAAGGACACAGAATAACCACAGGGGCTTACTATGAAGAAGTTTTAAGAACGCTGAAAACTGCACTGGTAAGAAAAAGGCCAGACCATTTTTTGCCATCATGACAATGCACTATTCATTCTTCAAGGGTTGTCAGGTCTATGCTGTAAGAATTGTTCTGGGAAACTTGAACTCCTCCACACTACAGTCCTGATATCTTGCCCCTTCACCTGTCTTTTTGTTCCCCAAAGTCAAAGAACATTTAAAAGGAAAAAAGATTTGAGTCCCTCAAGGATGCTAAAACTGCCATTTTGACACAGTGTAAATTGAAGAGCCCAGAATTCTCTGGGGAAGGGTTCCGGAGATGGAAACACTACCTTCAGAAGTGCACAGACTTCCAACCAAAACCCAAACTCACTGCCACCGAGTCAGTTCTGACTCAGCAACCCTGCAGAGCGTTTCTCAGGCTGTAAATTTTTTTTTTTTTTTAATTGGGAATTATATGATAGTTTACATGGGAGAACATTAGCTTTATATGGTCGTCAGCACACAGTCCCTCTCCCTCTATGGGTATAAAGTCCCCAGCCGCTCCATCT